AGAAGTGGACGCCGATAGTTCCCGAAACACAATTGCAGCTAGAGTCCCGCTGAATGCAGTGGTGGTGTCCGTGTGCACGGATTCCATGTACGTGGGGGAGCTAGTGTTATCTTTGAAACACTGGCACAGGTTGCCCAGAGCAGCTGTGGCTGCCCCCTCCCTGGCAGTGCTCAAGGCCAGGCTGGATGGGGCTTTGAGCAACCTGGTCTGGTGGAAGGTGTCCCTGCCCATGGCAGGGGGACTGGAACTAGATGGTCTTTGAGGTCCCTTCCAACCCAAACCATTCTGTGATTTTGTGATCTTTACAGTTGGTGGAAGAGAAGCACTGTCGGGTTAGGGTATAGCAGATCTTATCACAAAGCGGAGCTCTGCTTAGGATGCAGTGAATCACTTACCTTCAGGTTTTATCTTTCTTCCCAGCGACTATAAGAGGCTTAGATGTAAGTGTGCGAGTTGGGTGCGATGCCGCCCATCCCAGACCTGCCCTTACAAGTTTAAGCAATTTGTATTTTCTCTAATAGTCACCTTTGAAAATTGATATAGTCAGTTTAGCTTTGATTTTGTGAGGGAATTGTGTATCTAGTGCAGACTCTAGACTGCAGAATTTTAGGTTCATCTAGATTTTAAATGCTGGTGAAACAGCCCTTTAAGTGCCTGTATTCCTCAGAGGGTCAGTGGTGAGGTTAGGCCTCTTTGGAGGTCTCCAAATACAGACTGTGTCTACCTAAATTAAAATGGGAACAAAATTAGGGATGAGATCAAAGGTATGTCTTGCCAACTTAAATCTAGAGGGATGCTTAGAAGTATATCCATTCCAAATGCTTTGGAGTAGTAACCTCACAGAGAGGTTCAATAATGAAAAAAAAAAAAAAATTTCAAAGGCAAGTAGCTATTGCTTCAGTCAGCTTCTAGACTTTTTAAATTGGACTGATACCCTTCCAGTAGGTTATGCTTTGTCATATGTAATGATTGTCTTTTATATTGATTTAATTCACCTAGTGTGCATGAAGAATGGAGTTTTTAATTAAATGTGCAATTAATTGTAAGAAATGTTTGCTATGACAAATAATAACAAACTTTTCCTGGAATGACTTTGTCTCAGAATATTATTCCTGTGTATGACAGACAAAATCTTCTCTATCGTAATGCCTGAATAATTTTATTTTTCTTTTTCTTAGCAGTAGAATTTAGCGATGAGAGCATGGATGATGCAAAGCACCTTCTTCAGGCGATCTCCTTGTTTATTAGAGATGCAAATGCATATATAAAAGGACAGCTGATATGCGAGCCTGTTAGAGAAGACATACTGTGGGAAAGGTAAGGGCACCTCCTGTATCTTAAAGATCATGATTATGTGAGCAGTAGTTTGCTGGCAGGCTCAGAGGGCTGAACGGCATAGTGTTCTTGGTTCTATTTAAGAAGCAGGACAAGAAGAAGGACTGAGAAGCAGTCTTCCCTGCCAGCCCTCACCAAGGGCAGCTTTTTTTTCTTTCTTTTTCTAGCCAGCTGCTTTTCATCATAATCTGCTACACTTAGTTCATTGTACTCTTAAAATCCGTGTTATTTAGCTAGTGTGCCTGTCCTAACACCCCTCATCTTTGCCCCTCTTGCGTGATGTAGAAGGCAAAGCTGTGACTGAAGTTGTGAGGCTACCCGGTTTGTAAGTAGAACTGTGCATTAGTGACTGAAGAAGAAAGAGGATGACTGGAAAGTAATATGCCTTGGGCATGTGAGCTCGTAGTCAAGCTGGCTGGCACTGTGGTGTGCAGCAGAGGAGAGGAGGGGTTACTAAGAAACTGGCTGGGGCAGAGATGCCACAGGGAAAGAAGAAGTTACGGTTGTTATGACCCTGACGGTGATGAGGAGAATCTTCTTTGGAGTGCCTTAGGAAAACCAGCTGATCTTCCAGGAGAGAGATGTGTTGGGTGTAAAGCTGAGAAGATGAGCACAGTGCGCCAGAGTCGGGGTAGAAGGGGCGTTGAGCACCCTGAAGCAACGTATGTGCAGGCAGCTCTGGGGTGTAGGGTCAGAGGGGAAACAGCCTGTGCTGTAGAAGTAGAGACGGCTTTCTTGTGAAGCGAGCACCTCGCTGTCTCACTGTCGGGGAGCTTGAGCTTACGGCTGCAACAACTAAGGCTTGCAAGGAGGGGCACCAGAACGTGTTACAGGGAAGGGGAGTTGAATTAACTAGTCATGGTATTTGGCAAAAGCAAGTCCTTTAGCAGGAGGCTGCAGGAAGACCTGTTGGTGAGAGATAAGGCTGAGAGACGGGGGCACGTGGCGAAATTGAAATGGATTGTCAGTGGGGGACATGTGGGAGGGCACAACTTGCATATCAGTAGATGTGAAAACAACCAAAATGAAACAGAGCTCTTAATTAGGAAAGTGATAGATATTCAGAAGAGCAAGGGAAGCTTGCAGGGAGGAATGAGTTGGGGCAGCAGCCATCTGATAGCTGAGGGGAGGCAGCCATTCCAGGCAGAGCCACTCAGGCAGAACAGTTTTAGGCACTAGGATAACTTGAGATTCCCCGGGTAACCCTGCTCTCCGAGCCTTGCCATGAAACAGCATCCTTGGGTGCGTGCTGTCGAGGTCTGGTTCATCTGGCTGTGTAGGAGCTCGTGCCGGCAGCGGTCGTCGTCGTTCTCCTCCTCCTCCCGTTCACAGCGGCTGCAGCGGCCGGCACTGGTTCTGCAGTGAAGAGTGCTGGTTGCCCGCTGGCTTTTGGCGCTGTGAGGCGAGTGGTCCCACCAGACCTTCTCGTCCGGGCCGAGCCGAGGGGAGTCCCGGGGCTGCGATGGGGCTCGCCTGGGAAATGAGGAAGCAGCGCCTGCTTCTGAGCTGGATCCTGCCAGCAGGACTCCTGGCTGACCCAGAGTCAGCTCTCTTGCCAGGCACTGGAGTGATGTGCATGACACGGCTTTGGAAGAGAAGCGTGCAGTTAGCGTGAAAAACAGGCTGCTGGAAGAAAAAAAATAACTTAGCAAAATCTTCAGCGTGCTTAATATCAACCTCATTTTCCATCTGTTTTTAAATGATTAAGGCAAGCCTTGCTCTGCCATCGTTGGCGCCTGTGATTAACTGTGTATTTATTGAACGGATGTAGCACTTTGTTTTTTGACATGTGTCAAGTTTCTTCCCTTCGCAGCTGAAAGATTTGTTCTCCCTGATCAGTGTAGCATCACCCATCATAGGACATCTAGGAAGGAAATGACAGTGTCCTTTCGGTGACTCCCTCTGGCTGAATAGCTGATGAATTCAGCATACTGCTGGCATCTTGTTTGTCTTATCTTAAACGTTACCTTTTCTTCTTGAAGGCTAGCCAACACAAAAGTAACCGTGAAGGCTGCGTTTGCAGATGACTTTGACACCTCCAGGGCTGTTGCAGCAATTATGGACCTCATTCACCATGGCAACAGACAGCTTAAGGCTGTTACTAAGGTAACCCATTAGGATACAGAGATCAGAAAATGACAGCTGTCCACTGTCCTACTGTTTAATGCAGACAGATTAGTTTATTGTTCACATAAGAAACCAGCAGAAACAAAGCTCCATAAATTGTTGACCTTAATGGTGCCCATTTGTCCTGACCGTATTGCAGGAATTGTGTACAGCTATTGTTTTGTGCTTCGTTGTGTCCAAAGGATGTTTCTTTCCTGCTGCCCTATATTATTTATACTTAAGGTTTTTGAAAGGCCTGAAGCCATTGTGGGATGCTGCTAATTTTAGTGCTGATTTTATGTTCTTACCCTGCTGCTTTGCTTAATACCCATGCACAGAAATCAACCTAAATTGGGAAATGGGGGGTGGTGGTTGCTGCAGGGACTCTGGCAGGCAGTCCCAGGTGTACAGGGCAGTCATGGTGGTGAGCTCAGCTTTGGGGACTGAGTGGCTTCTGCTGTCAGCAAATTATAACTGTGGCCTCAGCTTGCCTGCACGAGTCCATCTTCAGATGGCTTTTGGCAAACTGAGACCCTGTTAAGATCTCTCGATGCTGACACAAAAGAGGCGTCCAGTAAGGACGAGATCTGAGCAGTAAACACGGTCTAAAGCACTTCTGGGTCTCCTTTTACCGACAGCTCCCTTTCTCCCTCAAGGCGAGCAGCTCAGCCTCATTGCTGCGCTCCTTGATTGCTGGTATCATAATGTCCACCATGTTTGTGCTGTAAAAGAAGTGTTGAGTACGTAGTAATAACTGATTTTAAGAGAGAATTAGCCTGTTGGTTTAGAAATCCTGCCTCCTCCTGGTCCTGTCTTGGCACTGACTTTAGATTCTGTCCTTAGCCTTGTCTTTACAAAACGACTCCCTGAGCGAATCCCTGACCTGAGCCAGTTTGCAGCAGGGATCCGTAACGCCATTACCACTCCTAAATACAAGTAGCCTCGTTTTGCCGGTCATTGCTCGTTCCCCCTGAATTCCTTTCGTTAGTAGTTTTGTTGGGAATTGGGTGGGGTATTTGTGGGGCTGCTGACTCCGATTTCTGGTGGTGGTGGTGGAGCTCTTCTGGGTGCAGCTCAGCTGTCTGAGTGTTACCTCTTACTGCCTGTGCACGTAGCTTTTTCTCCTTAAGAGCTGTGAGTAAATTCACATAAACGTAACTACTCATTCCTCTCTCTGACCTTCTCGCCGTTCTTACTTCAGTTGGCACATTCCTTTTTCTTTCCCCTCAGCTGCTTCAGCTCCTTCCAGTTCAGATCTCTTACAAATTTTAGGTCATGGCTTATCTTGGGCCCTAATGGAGATGTTGCATAAAATCCAGTACCAGCTGCTAATTTGGTTGTGTATGTCATCACTCTCTTTCTGGGCAAGGGTTAGTCCCTTAAATTGTTTCTCAGTCTATCGTTTAATCTTGATTATTTTTTTTTTCTTTTTGTGAAATAAATATGGAGGAAAGAAAGAAATAAATGTGTTCTTAAAAATGCTATTTGATTGTTGCTGCTGGTGGTTGCTGGTGCCACCAGGGCATGACAAAATGCCATAAGCTATCTCAAAGAAATCTTCATGTTGTTTAAATCAATAACATGCTCAAAAGAGGATTTGGGTTTTTTTTTTTTTAATCCTTTATTTTATAGGTGCCCTTGAAGCTGGGATTTTGCTCATTTATTTTGTTTTCACACACACAGTCCTTTCGTGCCCAGAAGTGCTAAGTCTCACTTACTGCACGCATGTAATGCGTCGCAGCTTCACACGTCTCTTCTCCTCACTGTGCATGCTGGTAATAAGCTCTTCCCCTCCCCAGTTTACTTACATCTTTTCACTTTGTGTTGTGAGGTGCTTTTATATCTCTGTAGAAGTTCCTGTCTGGGCAGGTGTTACTGGTGGAGGTAGTTCCATATAATCAATCACAGTTTTCCCTTGCGGACTAGGCTACAGAGGGATGATGAGTTCTGTAATGTGTATTGACTGGACAATCTTTTTTGAGTGTTTTTTAAACAGGATGCTGGGTCTCCTAGAAGCTCTGTTGTGTATGGAAGCATTATTTCCTATATAGAAGGCTTTTTTAATGCCCTTGGGATGTCCTTTGGAGAAAGACAGGTATGAAACATCTCTTCTATGTGTACTTAATGTATGGCAGCAGCGCCAGCGTTGTGTTTGAACGCTTTCTGAAAGCGTCAGATGTAACAAAGTTACTCATGGTTTTAGTAAACCTTTCTGCACCGCTTGCAGTTTCTCTCGTGATGTCTTAGGAGAGCATGTGGAACAAAGTGTGGGCTTTTTTCTTCTCGGAGGCGCTCCCATGTGACTTCTGCAGGAATTGTGCTGTGGAAATGACAGTCTGAGGAATGAAACAAGAAAAAAGTTAGCATTGGAGGCCTTTTAAGTTGGTCCTGTTACGTGCCTGGCTTTCCCCTGGCTCCTCTTCTTGCCGATGGCTGCACCCAGGCTGGCTTTGATCGCCGTACGGGTATTTGCGGTTGTGACCTCCCTGCGCAGCGGGAGCCGGGGTGCAGCTTCTCTGCAGAAAGCCAAGGTGTGGGGAAAGGGGCTGCTCTGCCTTGAGCTGTGGTAGGCGGAGGGGAGGGCAGCAGGGGCGGGGGGGCTGTCACTGGAAATACCTGGCTTATCCTCTAGTGCTTGGAAAGGTGGGAACCGGGAGGGGTTGGGGGGGAAGGAGAGGAAAGCTCAAACCAAAGTACTGCACAGGGAAGAGAGCGATAAATACGGTGGGGATACCCTGATGTGTGGAACGGGAGCATTTAAAATGACACAAGGTGTTGGAGGCAAGCAGGCTCTTCCCTGCTCCTCTCGTGCTTGAATCTGGAGCTGAATACCAAGAAGTCGGAAACTTCCTTTAGAGAAACTCTTCTGCAGAAATTTCTTTTGGGGAAGGGGAGAAGAGGATAAGAAAACGTGAATGACGTTATTCATCCCTTGAAAGTCAGGCAGCATAGCAATAAATGCATTTGTTCACTTTGCCTCTTTTTGGATTTTTCCGCAAAACTTCTTGCAAAACAGTGGTTGCATGTGATTTGGCTGTGTGTTGCTCCTGATAACCCGTGGTTTGTCGTGCTAGTTTTTCAGTTGCATACTAAACGCTTGCATTTGTCTGTAAGTTGGATGGCAAAGTCATTGCTCCAGGTTCTGGGCTGTCTGTGTGCGGGTGCCTGCTGCACCGACGTTTTTGCTGAAACAAGTGTGTGGATGCTTTTCTGTTTTGTATGCTCTGCTGGTTTCTCTGGGGCAGCAGGGTCAGCAGAAGACGCTGGCGCAAGGCAGGCAGGAGGGAAGGAGCAGCACGTCGGGCTCTTCTCTGTCCCTCTGCTCTTTCAGCTTCCAGTAAATGAATTGATCAAGATCTTCATCAGAAAGGCCAGTGGGCTGCCACAAGCTGGTAAATAAAATCATGCCAGGATTGTTCTCTGACCTCGAGACCAGCCGCAACAGCTCCGCATCCAACCTTTCTTGCCCCTGTCCTCTGCCCCCGAGCCCAGCCGCAACAGCTCCGCATCCAACCTTTCTTGCCCCTTAGCCGGGTGGTGCCAGGCACGTGGCTTGCCAGGAGCGGTCCCTGACCACCGTGTGTCCTGGCGTGTGGGCTGCCTGGCAGAGGGCTAGCTGGCCTGGCTGCTAGCAATTTAGCGTAGAGGCTACGGGGAGAGCGGCATTTGGGCCTTCTTCATGTGGACGTTTGCATGTATCCCGCGGGCCTGTCTTGCCCTTGAAATGGGGTTCCTCTCGGCTGGTTAGCCTTACGGCCTGCTGCAGCTGCCTGCGCTTCTGCGGCGGTCGGTGGAGAGAGGGACACCCCTAAGGGACGGTTCGTCTTCGTCTGGTGGCTGTATGAAACAATCCTGCCAGCCTCCCTCTCTGCATTAGCAAGAGAAGGAGCCCGGCCGGCCACAGGCGGGTAAGATGAATCCGTCTGAAAAGTGGTGGAAACCATCGTGCCTGTTTTAGAGCTGCGGAGTGAAGGTGGGGGCTTCTGCTCTGCCAAGGAGTGCTGTGTTGTGGGTGCAGCTGGGGGCAAACAGGTGGTCACCTGTGGGGTAGGCAGGGGCCAAATTTCCGTACAAGACTTCTTACGAGCTCTTTGGGTTGGTCGGTACTGCAGGAGAAGTTAAGAGATCAGCCCTCAGAGGCTACACAGTGTTTTACGGGGAAATTGGATCAGTTCCTCTCCTAAAGCTGCCTCTCCTTGACACAAGGTCTTGCCTTGTGTCGTGAATCGGTGCTTGGTTTGAACTTTGGCAGTGGTGTTTGTAGAGGTGCGTCTCTTGCTCCCCTCATCATTTGTCTTTCCTCTCCCTTCTGTATTTAATCATTTATCCTGCTCTTTTGCCTGCCCCAGGTTACGATGGAGCATTTCTGTCAACTAGATCTATTACCTTCTTCAGTCTCACAAACTTCTTTATTATGTTTACATGTTTTGAAAGTTCGGGGCGTTTGCTGCCTTTTATGATTGTGGAGAGCACTGAGCATCTCGCGCTGTGTCTTTGATAGCTTCCCCCTCTCCTCCTTCTTCTCCTCCTCTTTGTTTGTTTGCTTCACTCAGTGACCTCTGAAACTGCTCCCTTTCATTTCCATCCTGCTGTTCAGTGACTACATACGGTCCCCTCTGGCTTTAATTACTCAGCTGCTCTTCTGCTCCCAGTTGAGCATCGCTGTCAGCAACTTCGCCCCCGGGCCTTGGTGTGCTTTACATTTAACTGCTCCATTGTCTGCTCCCCGCCTTGTGCTTTAGTGTTAAAATACTGCAGTGGCGTTCTCTTGTTTGTTGGAGGTTTGTCCTTTTCCTCCCCCACAGCAGTTTGCTTCTAGTGAGAAACGGGGACGATTTCGCTGCTGAGAGCAAGACTGGGAGCGTGGCTGTGCCAGCGATGAGGAGTGGCCTTCCTCCTCTGCTAGCACCCGAGCTCCCGTCCCAGCGGCTGTCGGAGCGGGGCCCTCTAGGAGGAGCAAGGCCATTCCCTTCCTGTGGTGTTGCCCAGAGAGACCTCTGCCAAGCCAGAGGAGGCCAAGGAAGCTTGGAGCTGAGGGAAGGAGTCGGGCGCCAGGCAGCAGCCAGAAAACACTCACTGTGGGCGATGGCTGTCACTCAGTCGGGTCTTTTTGGGTGGCTGAAACTTTGGATAAGGCAGTTCAGATAAAAGTTCTGCGGATTTGGGGAGGTTTTGTATAGGTGCAAGGAGAAAGGGTAGTCTAGAGGCTTAAAGCCAAAATACTTACTTTCCCTGATTTGTGTTTCCTGAAGAGGGTCCGGAGCCCAAAGGCAGAGTTAAGGGGCTGATGCGCTCTCTGTCTCTGCAGAGGTTTGCAGCCGAAGGGCTGTTTGAGCTGGCGGCTGGGCTTCCCTTGCTGTGTCGGGTGGCTGTTGCTAGGCCTTTCTTCCATTAATTTGTCTATTCCCTTTCTAATTTATGCACGCTTCTGGCATCTCGGAGGTTTCCTGTGGCGATGAGTTCCACAGTTGGGTTATGCAGCATCTTACGGTCACGTGAGAGCCCTCTGCTCCAAGACAGATGCTTTCTTGTGCAGGAATACGCTGAACTACTTCCAAGAATGACTCCACTGTAACTTCTTGTCCAGCATCAGTGAGATTGTGACATTCTAATTGTACCAATAAACGGAAGATGCACAACCAAGAGGGGTGACAAGGCCTCAGTGTATGCTGCGGAGTTGGGGTCTATTTTTAAATCGGTCTCAGGTGTTTTTTTTAAAGGAGCCTGTTTGGTTTCTAGGTGGCTCTGGGAGGAGACAACTCTGCTGTGCTCTCTAACGTCATCGATGAGCTCGTAAGGTTCCGCGCGGAGGTCCGTCGTTACGCGCTCGCTCTGCCGGAGGCAGCAGACGCTGTGCCGACGGAGGATGCCACGGGAGCCGAAGGACCAAATCAAGAACAGAAGGAAAAGAGGCAGCAGTTAATGCGGGAGAGAAAAACCCTCCTGGAGGCATGTGACAGTCTGCGTGGAGACCTTGCTGCCTTTGGAATCCACATAAAGGTAGAAGACCGTGACCCTCTTTGTCTTTAAAAAATGACCAATGGTCTCACAGCGTTTATTTTTGCCCTTTGTGCCCCTTCGGCAGCTTCGGGGTTGTGCCCCGCTCCCTGTTTGAGTGCGGTAGCAGGAGGTGGAAGTTAAGCCCTTGCCGGCTACTGCTAGCCTCCTCTTCTGCTCCCCCTCGGCCTCGTGTCTCCGTGGAAGCTGTAGCTACTTCTGCAGTTACTAAGGGTGTGGTATTTAACCACTGAAAATTCCATAATATTCAGAAATCCCTAAGCTGCCCAAGTTCAATCCGGAAGGAGAGGTATGAGTAATGTGTGCGATCTTTAAAAAGATTGCAGAGGAACTGGAAAATAAACTGAGATGGCTTATGAAAATAATGCCTTCCCTCTACCCTCCCCACATTTCCCCACCAAAAATGCTCAGTCTCCACGAGAAAGCCTCTTCTGTCTTCAGCAGCTCCTCTCCCAACTGTTCCTGAGCCATGAGTAGTTTGCCCGATTCCTCCACCCTGCTTGCTACTTTCAGCCGATACCTAATGCCGCTGTTCTTTTCCATTACCCCAACGGTGTCTCCTGCTCAAGAGAAATCCCTTCCATGACTTACTGTCTCCTCCTGGTTTCAAGGTGCCATGTTACTTCTTTAACGGGTGCCGCTTCTTCCAGTTCCAGTCCCTTCACTGCAGCCCTTGTTGGGTCAGTGTTGCTCCTTAGGTGCAGAATAATCCTCCGCGCTCTCTCCAGCATCTTTCTCCCTCCCTCCAGTCCACGCTGCTCATTTTCCCCTCGCTCAGGAACTGAGCCTTGCGCAGCCTCCTTGCATCGTTTCACCAACGGGAGGATATAAAGCACAATGACAGTAGGGAGTGACAGCATACATCCTCTTCTAATTGCTGAACGTGAGAGCTGTCATTTGTCAACCCACCTATTAAAAGCAAATGCGAAGTGTGGCCAGCTGTCTCGTGGTCTCAGATGAAAGTGAGCGTGCCGATACCAGCTGGGGTGAGGGCCAAAGCGCAGTGGTGGTGAGCTACAGCTGTGAAAGCAAAGGAAGACTGTGTGTGGGAAGCTGGAGCATCTGCTTCCTTAACTTGTTTGTACATAGCTAAATCCTTGCTCCGCTTATCTGTCAGGAAAGTTTGCAAACCCAAACAACTGCACAGAGACAAAAGTCTTGGAGGAGACGACTCCCTTTTGATTTATTTTGGCAAAATGGCCACAGCCCCACCTCCACTCTTTTGAAGATTTGTTTTGGTTTGTTTTTAAAGGGGGTTATGGATGTTTAATAACCTCCTAGAAATTTGCCTTAGCCAGGATTCAGCCCATTCCATTTATTTATTTTTTTTTAATAACCTGAAGTTGGGCATAATCTATCTCCTGCTTGTCCCAGAGTAGTTTGCTCCTGAAGATGAAGCACATAGGAGCATGCACAGCACGTGTCCGAAGCTGAACTCCTGCTTTTTTTTTGCTGATACGGTGGAAGTATCAAGGTGTGCTGTGAAGCTTGCCCAGGTCTTGCCTTTGCAAATCCCAGAAGAGCCCCCGCAAGCCGAGCTCTGCGGTTCCTCACGCCGGCTCACCGGAGCACGCGTGCGACAAGAGGTGGCCGTACCCAACGCAGGGCTCCTGCCACCCTCGTGCTCAGCACGAGTCTGCTTGGCTGGGTTGGCTGGCTGCCCTGGGCTGGCTATTGCCAAAAACGCCACGGTAACACAGCACCTAGCAGCTGGGTCCCGCTTGCCCAGTGAGTGCTTCAGGGAGTAATTTGAATTTTTCTTTCCTACCTGGCCTCTGCTTTCCGTGAAACTTTCACGAGCCCCACAACACCCAGGCAGTAACGCAGCTGTTAATGCGCTCTTCCTCGTGTCGCGTGCGGCTGCAGTCAGCCAGCAACTCCTCAAGTCCATGTGCAGGAGGAAAGGCAGCAGAACAGATGAAGCCCCTAGTTTGGGGCTGGGCAGGAGGGGTTGGCTGCTCTAGGGTGCAAGTAGCAACTTGGAGCACACTAGTAACTTAATTCCCTTTAAAAATCGGCTTCGTAGAAAGGGTAATTTTTCCTTCAGCTTGTGATTTCTGTGCACTGGTTTCCTCTCATGCTGCTCAATGCAGGCAATGTTCTGTTTGTCTGAAGTTACAGAACTTGTCACAAACAGATCAAAACATCCACCGGTGCTTTTACGTCATTGTAGCGCGCTTGAAATGCAAGTTAATCTGTGCCACTAAGTGAAATGTAGTGATTAGGAATTTACGCATCAAAACCAGTTTTCACTTTGATGTAATGAAAATTCTACATTGTATTCCAGCCTCTCTCGTGACTCAGAGCTCATGTAACATTGTCACGTTTCAGTGCTCGGGTTAACTTTTTTATTTTCAACAATTGCAGTCAAACAGCTAGATCATTTTTATTTTCAACAATTGCAGTCAAACAGCTACATCATAAGAGTCAGAAATGCTCAGTTTGACTGTAGTATTATCTTTCAAAAATATGATGGTATTGCATTACAGGTATTTACAGCAACAGGCTACCACCCTAAAGTTCAGAAGGAGATCAAATACGTTAGGCACTATTTTCTCATGTGTTGGCCACAAGAGCTGTTTTCCATGTACACGAGCTAATTAAACATGAAAATGGGATAGCCCGAGTTTAATGGAAGTTACTCCTACGAGAAAGGCCACTCATGGCTGCAGCACCCCCCCACTAATGAGGTGATGTTTCTATTGTGGGGTTTTTTTTTTCCTTCTTAACTGGGAAAAGTTGTCCTAGTTGTTTTTTACAACTTGAGTGTTATTGGTAACAATGGTGTTTCTGTCGGACGGCATCACCCCTGTGTACCCAACTGGACTCATAGCTTTGCTGTGTGAAGCTTGGTTAAAACCCTGTGCTTCCAGGGACCTACGTGCGGGTGGTACCTGGGTGATCCAGGCTCCTGGGACTGACGCGCTTGCTGCTTCTTACAGGACAGAGCCGCTGTTTCCACCTGGGAAATGGAGGAAGGATGGCAAGCAGAGCAGCGGACTGAGAAAAAAAGCTGATCCTTCATCCCTTGGACTTCTTACTTCAGCTGCTTTGGCAACAGCTGTAAATACCAACACTTCCCCAATAAAATCTTTGGAACAGAATGGCTAACGGGGATAGACTGTTGACACTGCTTCCCGGTAACTACACCCAGGAGGCCCGGCAGGGGTGGGTGCAGCGCGGGTGCTGGAAGCACCCGAACAAGCGGGCAGCAGCTGTGCTGTCTGACACAGCCCTCTGCAGAGCCTGGCGCAGGCGCTGCCCCAGCCCCAAGGGCTGCGTTTTGTGGAGCTGGCACTGGGAATTAAAACATTGTGAAGACAGGCACGAACTTAGGCCTGTCTTTGGGGCTGAAAACACTTAAGTTCTACATGCACTGGTTCAAACACCTGCCTTCACCTTGGAGACAGGAGGAGGCGATGCTTTCAGCCCCGAAGCACTTCCTGAGGGCAGCGCTGCTGGCTTGGCCCTGTGAAATCTTTAACCAGAACGCGCCAGTATCCAGTTAGCTGTAAGGTTTGCTGTCTTCTCCGTTTCCTTTTGCACAGAATACATGGAGATTTCCCCAGCTTGGGGAGTGCAGCATGCTCAGGATCTCTCAATGAGAACCGGGAAGATAAAATCGGTCTGTTTCGTCATTACCGGTTCAGTTATCTTTCTGCTTTTGCCATGTTTGTGTTAAAGAAAAAAATCCCCTGGATGGGTGGCTGCAGGGATTTGCAGAGAGGCCACCTGTGTTCTAGGGGCTGAGGTACTCACCTACAGGTACGCTGCCTTTAAATCAGTTTATAAAAATAAAACAAAACCAAGAATGTGGGTTCATCTACAAGGAACGGAATTTGAAAATACAATTCACACACGTGAGCTGTTCAAAAGTTCTTTTGGATTGTTGAGAATGAAACACAGAGCTGTTTTCCTGCCCCCTTTCTGGTTGTCGGTACCCCTAGAGAAGGTGGGGGTGGGAGGTGCCTTCATTAGCACTGGGGCAAGATGGTTGTCGGACACTGGTGGTATGTTGAATTTGCTCATGGCTGTATTGCTCCAGGAAACCGGAACGAGGGGTCAGCTCAGCTTCAGTGGGAAATGTCGTCAGAACACACCACAGGAAGTACACGCAGTTAATTTTACTATTGTTTTTATTTCCTACCAAAAGAAACTGCTACATTTCCAGAATGTTTAAAAATTGTAACAATTTGTATACATTAGTGAATAACAGAGTTACAACTTCTGTGTAGATTTAAAACCAACACGGCAGGTTGAAATCTGTACTGAGCTCTGTTAATTGATTGACTTCGCCTACAAATGCCATTTAGATTATAATACCACTGGTGTTCTAAATAATAATAATAAAAAAAAGCTCATTTTAAAGGAAATCCAGTAGCCATTTTAAAAATCAGTTTTAACTTTCTGATTTTATTTAATAGGAGTCGGGCTTCTCAGTTTTAGGAGGAAAAACAGTAGTACCTTAGTTTCCCCAAAGGTGTAGACAGTTTACAAAACTGCTTACATTAAACACCAAAACCCCATCTTTTACGTGTAGACATTGCTCTAAGCTAAAAAGTCCGTGAACCCTCATAGACCAAAACGAGCAAACATTTAAAAACCTATTTTAAAAATAGGTAAAACTGGTTTAAAAAGAAAAAAAAAAAAAAAAACCAACACAAAAAAAATGCATCAGGGTGAGGTAGTAGTCACAGTGCATCCAGAAATATCAACTCTAAGGGCTGAAGGAAGGGAAATACTCGGAGCAGCCTTTCTGATTCCAGGTGCTTGCCGTGGGCAGCTATTGCAGGGTACGAGAATGCAACCTGACTAGTATGCGTGACACTGTATTCCGCTCGAGAAGAGCTGGGTCACTGCAAGAGTGGCTGCAATGCATATGTAACGCCTGTCGCAACAACTAGACATGTTATATGCTTGTTCCTGTGCTTTAATGAGTATATACACTGGGAGCTAGGCTGCAGGTTTAAGGGCAGTACCCGCTTCAATGTACTTGGTGTGAACTTGCCCCTCTCTCCATATTGGTTCGTCCCCTACAAGCTTTAATTTCTAAAAATTTAAGAAATGATGCTGTGCTGAAATCCCACACACCTTCCCCTTCGCACCCGACGCTCACCTGCCCTGCCAACGAGCCAGACCAGGGGCGGCCCTAAGGGTACGAGTCCCGTCTGCCTTGCTCAGGATCGGACCAAAAGCCCCTCAGCCCGGCTGCCGCGCTCGCAGCTCGAGCACCGACCGCCCCCTTTTCTACTCCCGCCTCTGCCTGGCAGCGCGCGGCTGCCCGCGCAGCGCTCGGAGGGTACAGGTAGGCGCTGCTGCCTGCCTTTTGCTCCTGCAAGCCCCGGTCCTGCTGGTTAAAGCACCTCCCCGCTGATCTTCCCAGAGCTCTGACTAACTCAGCAGGCCGTTTGAGTCTTAAAAGCACTGCGCTCCGCCGTGATCGCCGGGAGTTTGACCAGTTCAGTTGGGTATCGCTAAGTTTCTTACGCTGCCTCGTACCTCTCCAAAGGAGAATTTCACAAAAAAGTTCATCCTACCGAGGGCTCAGCTGGCCTTGGCTCATCTAAGGAATACAAACCCTTTTTTTTTCAGGTAAGCATAGTCATTACCATTTAACGCTAAGACACCTACAGCATATCCTTGTTCTGTGATGGGGGAACCTTTTAAAAAAAAAAAAACCCAAAGCCAAGATGTTTCAGGAAGGGACGTCTTGCCGAAATGAACGCTGCCTCTGGGACCGGGAATGGGAAAAGGCAACTAATTACATTCAAAACCTACAGCAACTCGCATGCATTCCCTTTCCAAAGAGGCTTACTTTTTGCTTCTTGATATACTAGCATGGCAAAAAATGAAGTGCAATAGCTAATTCTAGACAGAGGGTCTAAGAATGAAAACATTACAACCTCGGTGCAATCCAAGAAATTCAGTTGAGCTGGTGGAAGAATTTTACCTAAGTATCAAGTGCATTATTTTTTTTTTTTGCTGTTCACACTTTAGTTATTGCTCAATAACTATCAAAAAAGAACAGAGGAATACTTTCAGTTTAGTTTTATTATATTATAACAGATCTGCAACTACAGCTTATTTCAGCCAAAACATTTTTGTATTCCAAACTCTTAAAAAATATCTACATTAATCATATTTTTCTATTCTTAAAAATAAAAAAAATCTACCTAGCATACCAATGCTGCTACAGCACTTGAAAGGGTGCATTACTTATGTAAATTCTACGGTAAATGTAATTACTCTTGCAGTCATTGTTCTTCCTTTTCTTCTTCTCTGCTGCTTTGGCTTCAGGTTTCAAAAAGTTTGTTAAAAGCTGTTCCAACTTCTGAAACCATGTCAGAGGCAGTCATTGAACGTCCGAATTTTTGAAAGGCTTGGTGGTTAGACTGCCTCGTAAGAGAGCAAGCTCCAAATGCAGCCACCAGAAAGGGATTTTGACTAAAAGGAAAAAAACAACAAACACAAACCACAACATCATAAACAAAATATGAACACTCCTGTGTAATTCATAAAGTGGTGGACATCATCTTTCTTCTACCCATACATATTTGGCAGCATTGTCGGGAAAGCTTCTGAAGCAACCACTGGTGTTTCTCAGACTCTGCACTGCAGAGCACCTTTGGCTGAATCTTTTTTTTAACAAACTTCCCACGGTGCAGCATGTGAGTGAGTGAGAAACACCACCCGGGCTGAAGGATGCAAAAGGGAAACACGCTTAGAAAGTTTGTGGTGTGTTCCACGTCTAGCTTTAGCAACGTGAAACTTTTGTCCTTTCCTTCGGAGGAAGGCTGAAGTCTGACCTGGCAGCCTTTTAACTCCCTTTTCCTCCCCGCTCGCTGCGTAACTCGGTTCAGCTTTGTGCTGCAGGGGCTGGGGGAAGGACGTGGGGATTGTTGACAAGAGGCGGTTTTTAACAGGGCCGCCGTCGCTGCTCGGGGGCCTTCAGCAGATCCGCTCAAAGGGGGCACAGCGACAGAAACTAAGGCACCCTCTCTCACTGCCTCCCCTCCACGCTTCCCACCTGCCTCAGGGAGTGTCCCCAGCCCCAGCCCTCAAGTGCTGAACGGGTGTGTCCCCCCCCCCACCCGGGCA